CAAGGAATATAAACCAGGAACTCTATATCTTTATCTGAACCAAGAAATATACACTAGGAACCTCCATTTTTAAAATTAAGCTGATAAATATACACCAATGAATATAAATTCATATCTGAACCAAGGAATTTACGATAGAAACCTTTATATCCAAAGGTGTGCTAAGACAAAAATACCAGGAACTTCCATCCATTATTTAGCCAGAAAAGATACATCAGGAACCTTCATATCCATAATTGTGCTAAGCAATATACACCCTGAACCTCCTATCTATATTTGAACCAAGAAAGATACACCAAGAACATCTATTTCTATATCTAAGCCAAGGAATAAACACCAGGAAAAGTACATGTTATTTGCACTAATATTTAGTTGGTTCCTCGTGTTTCTTTCATGGGCTGAAAAGTAAAAAAAAGGAAGTAAAAAATTATTTATTTATGAAACATAACAAAAACATACAAAATAATGTGTTTCAGGAGAAAATATTTAAAAACCTCTAAAATTAGAAGTTGTGGGAATTTTTCCCCCCCAATTCTAACAATTTATTTTTAATGTTAAAAAAATAAGTAAAAAAGCTTTATGGAATGTGAAAGTGAGATAGGTTCTATAAAAAAACGGGCATTTTTATTCGCGCTGATTTTTGACATCCTTCATGTTTGATTATATCCTTTACTCTTTTTAATATTTTATTCTTTTCTTTGTAAAGTCGTCTTTGCTTTCTTCGATTTTTTGCAAACATAGCATGTGTTAGAATTAAAACATTTGTTCTGCTGATAAAAATATTTTATTAAATTCTGTTTAAAATTAGAAATAAGATTGATATTAGAAAGCTTAGAAAAGTGTCATACCATATTTTAGAGAAATTGTGAGGAGATTATACTCTAGGAATATAAAAATTATTTCTGTTTCTAAGATTTGCGTTTTTGATATGTTTTGATAGTATAAAATCTTTTTTAAATGTTGGGGGTAATTGATCTCCTTTCAATTCAAATAAAAATTTTATGACATTAAAAATTCCTAATTTTCTGAAGGGGAGTATGTTTAAAGACCAAAAAGCTTCCGCTGTGTGACTTATTCTAGGTAACCCCATCAAAAGACGGATAGCTTTCTTTTGCAATGATTCTATCTTATCAATATTTTTGATTGAAGTTAGCATTAGGAATGTTGAACTAAATTCTAAATGGGAGTGGGAAAATGAGTAATAGGTCAATTTCATGGTTTCAAAGCTTAAGAAGTTTTTCATTTTTTTTCATAGCATAAAGTGAAAAAGTTAACCGCTTGTATATCTTTTTTAAATAGTCATTAAAGTTCAGTTTTGTCACTTTGTGTCCAGCCATATTCCCAAGAATCTAACTGAATCTGTTTCTTTTATTCGTTCAATTTTTCGTGTAGATTCTCCTAATTTAAAGAAAACGTCAGGACAGTCGTTTTGTGCATTTAGAGAATTTGAAAATAAAATTGCATTAGTTTTCTCAAAGTTAATAGTGATTTTATTAGACATGTACCAACCAGTTATTTTTTTAATTCTTTGTTTATTGTGTCTGATAAAAAAAGGAGTGTGTGGGTGCATGGTGTGTATTTGTGTAAGTGTATTGGAGTACATTATACTATGCTAATAAGCAATAATTAATAATGACATATTTTGCCATATTTTATTTACCAAAAATATGACAAATACCAAAACCATTCCAGTACAATTTTAACAGTGTCTTCAACATTTTGTTGGTTGTTATGTACTGGTTTATCGTTGGTTGTTATGTACTGGTTTATTGTTGATTGTTATGCACTGATTTATTGTTGGTTGTTATGTACTGGTTTATTGTAGGTTGTTATGTACGGGTTTATCGTTGGTTGTTATTTAATGGTTTATTGTAGGTTGTTATGTACTGGTTTATTGTTGGTTTTAAATTTTCCCAACTCCAAATGCTTTATGTCCCATCCACGCTATATGATGGTATCTACAGTATAGTATGCATCTTATAAACCACGAAACCAATTAGTAAATAAAAAAGTGTATATTTAATAATTTTATTTAAATAAAAATAATTTGGCATAATTACAAGTGATGATGATGTAATGGAGCAGTTAAAATCTCCAAGATGTGGATATTTTTTACAGGAATTCTTCATGTTTATTACAATTTATGGAAGCAGGCATGCTTCTTACTTTTCACATAGCATTTAATATATGTTAAAAAAAAAACAGAAAGAAAACATAAAACAAATCTTCCCAAAGGGTTAATCCTTTTGTGCTTTTTTGCTGTTAAAAAAAACTTTAAACAATTTATGTTGAAATCCTATTTAAAAAAAAAACTGTGAACAGATTTGTTAAGATAGTTAAACAGTTCATTAGAGGTTTTTCTGAGGTAATTTCTTTTTTCAATTTTTCCATTTATAGATTTGGGACAAGATTCCTGACTTATAAATGTAAAGCTTTTGCACAATTATGTATTGAAGTTGCAAGTTTTCAATTTCTCCTGAATCAATTTGGATCCTGAAAAGGAGCATTACTGGAATATCAAGTAACCATCTATGCAGAGGGCATTGCCCCATTTGCAACAATAAATATAAAACCTTTGAATGTTCAGAGAGTGATGAGATATGTGTGTGTAAGCTTATCGAACCCCGCTTGTAATCAGCTGTAAACTCCTGTGTGCGCTGTGTCGAGTTCAGACTGCATACAGCGTACACTAAGGATACAACCAGCAGAATACTCGACAAACACACAAAGGTTTTAATGGTTCCATTTCCAAGTGATAAAGAGCCGTCAATTAGAAAGGGATTGACCATAGAGACGTTATGATATTTATTTCATTCAGTCAGATAATATTTAAATCTTCCCAATTATGCAATTTCTCAAGCAGCAACTTCCCAAAGGTTAGATTAGGCCTTCTGAGGCGCAGCTCAGACTGCAAATGAGGCCGAGTACTGCGACTAGAATGGTCTAGAGGGTCTAGGGCTGCATCAAGAACAGGCTAGGGGGCTGAGCGCTGTATCTAGGACAGAATTTTATTGCTACGAAAACTTTTGGGAAGTTACCACTTGGGAAATTACCCTTGGGAAGTTACCACTTGGGAAATTACCCTTGAGAAGTTGCTGCTTGGGAAAATGCCTACCATCTTTTTCTATGCTATACTTAGAACGCCAAAGAACAGCAGTTACTTTGAAAATCCCTGGTATGTTGGCTGGAAAGTTTGCCAGAAAACTATTAATGATAAGTTTGCTCAACTGGTTGGTCGACCAAACTTCTTCCATGAAAATGCCTCTATTTTCACCCTTCCTCATGTATATATGGGTAAGTTGACACCTCTAGATAGTAACAAAAGATTGTGATGAAACATAGAAAGATTTCAGATTTTGGTCAAAAAATATTTTCTTTGTTTTATAATCATATCTTATCAATCAGCCAACACTGGTGTACCCTTATAAAAGACGATGTGTATTTTATGTTGTTACAAAACAAATAGTTTTACTAGTAACTTAAAAATCCCTATTCCTATACCTAATCCTCTATCCACATATTTCTGGATCTCACTGTAGGTTCTTTTATTACATCTTTGTAGGAACTCCTGGGCCCGGAGTATTTGAATTCCATGTTGACCTTCACGTTTCCCCCAGCTGGCAAATACAGGTAGAACATGACTTAAGCATTGAATTAATTATTGCTTAATACAAGAAATTTATACTTCTCTATAGGAATGAGTAATACTGCATTCTAAAAATGAATGTTCTATTAATTGACTCTCTTAAAGGGATCAAAAGGCACTTGAATAGATATTGCTTAATACAGGATTTTCTACGAAACATGACGGTTAAGAGACGGCTTGAAGGTCGTCTTCAATCTCTAAAATAATTCTTCGCATTCATTCATAAACCAGTTTATAAGTAGAATTCATGAATTAATTATCACAAAATTGTCTTTCCTGCAGGTTAGTTACCTGCAAATTTCATGGAGGTCACCAACAAATATCTAATAGTATACCGGGACCTAATCACCAATGTTTTAGTTCTTATAACAAAGGATGAGAAGGATGAGAGGGATGAGAAGAATGAGAAGGATGAGAAGGATGAGAGGGATGAGAAGGAGGAGAAGGATAAGAAGAATGAGAAGAATGAGAGGGATGAGAGGGATGAGAATGAGGAGAAGGATGAGAAGGATGAGAAGGACAAGAAGGATGAGAAGAATGAGAAGGATTAGAAGGATGAGGAGCTGTTTAGTAGGATGGGTTGGTTGGATAGGATGGATGGGATAGATGGGATGAATAGGATTAGATGGATAGAATGAAAAGGATGGATTGGATAGAAAGGATGAAAAGGATGAAAAGGGTGAAAAGGATGAAAAGGATGAAAAGGATGAATAAAAGGAAATTTTATACCTATGTACTGACACACTTGCTATTGCGAAGTAAAGATATATAAAATCAGTATTCAAACATTAACAGATGCTTAGTCTTATAAAGAGAAGTAAGACAGTTAACCTAGCTATGCAAGCTATGTTACTATACTCATATAACTAACTAAAGATAGATCTCCGCGCACACCTCAACTTGATGACCCCAATTTTTTTTTTTTTTTTGAGGCAAGAAACACCAATACATTGGCGAGAGGTCGTTAAACTACCTACCAACGGTTCAAAATCTGAATCGCCAATTCTCCAATTTCACTACCATAAATCCTCATGAATCTTTAGCTTTAGACAATATGTCAAACCTGTCACTCTGAACCGTTAACACAAACATAAAAAATGGCGAATCTTCTTCTTTCCCTAGTTACACTTTTAAAGTACTGTGCTCCATCAATCAATAGTGAAGATTTATCAGTGCTTGATTCATCACTAAAACGTAAACTGTCACCTCTCCACCATCATATTTCAAGATGTAACGATCCAGCAGATTTAGCATCATTAGGAGACCAGCTTCCCATTCTGCTTACAGAATTCCTGGAAGAAAACAAAGAACTGTTTGCTGATGAGAAAAAACAGCATTCAAAAGGTTTTATCTCCCATCAAAATAAGACCCTCACAGAACTTCAACATCTTTAAAAAGTTTTGAGATAGAAAGCCTTTTCCAGAGCCGGCACTGATGAGGACAGGAAAAAGTTCCATTCCTGTCTGAAAGCAATTAGTGAGCTTAAAAAAGTTGAAAAAAGAAGACTCCTTCTGAAAACTACCACACACCAAGAAAAAATGTTTCACAAAAACCATTGGGAATTTTCTAAACAAGCTGTCAAGGGATCATTACTGCAGGAGAAATTGAAACCAACCTTTGACCTAGGATTTGCAAACACCTACTACTCAGAAAAATACAGCACACCCGGTATCATAGACTTGAACAATTTAAACTGGTTCCCCTTTTTGTCAATAACTCATGAATCTCCAAATTTCGAACCATTCAATTGTGAGCCCTTACGTCCAAAGGATGTAAAAAATATACTAAAAAGTGCAAATTGAAAATCCTCTCCTGGTCCTGATGGTATCCCGTATGAGATATTATTCAAATTCAAGTGTCTCCACCACATATTAGCCACCCTGTTTAATAAAGTGAATGTTCTGGGATCTCCTCCCCCTTCCTGGTCACACAGCGTGGTCAAATTACTACACAAGAAAGGACCGACTAGCGACCCAGGAAACTTTCGCATGATATCTCTTAAATCTTCTATTGCGAAGACTTACCATCTCCTTCTTGCAAAAAGACTGACCAAGTTTTTAACTGCGAATAATTATATTGACGAGAAAGTACAGAAGGCCTTTCTGCCGGGCATTAATGGCACAATTGAGCATAATGTCGTCCTTGAAGAGATTTTTTTTTGAGGCAAGAAATACCAATACATTGGCGAGAGGTCGTTAAACTACCTACCGATGGTTCAAAATCTGAATCGCCAATTCTCCAATTTCACTACCACAAATCCTCATGAATCTTTAGCTTTGAATCAGTGAAACATGCTTTGCAGTTCATCACTTCTCGCAACTTATTAAACTTGTTCCTGATTACTTATAACTCTTTAACTTTAATTCGGTGATTTGAACTGTTGGTAGACAGTTTAACAACCTCTTCATGCAATTAATTAAAATCAGTCTCCAGTGTTCCCTCTATAGATAAATGAATAAACATAGATAGCTTATGTACGCAAAATCACCAAGAATTGTACAGTCTGCGAACTCATACTTAGGGCAAAACTTAAAAGAAATTTACCGGGTATCCCAAACCAAACTCCGGAAACTCAGAATGTTACGGGGCAATACCTCAAAATGAAACCCTTGTATAGGAGTAGGGTTACGGCTGGGAAAGTGAGTTTCGTAGTGATTGTGGAACATATGAAGCACCATTTCTTCGTATTTATGCTTTAAATGGCTTCATATATGTTCCAAATACTTGATCAGTTAAGATCTCTCTCTCTAAAGACTCGATATTTAATAAAGTACAGTCAAATCGAATTTAAAAACATTTTTCTGTTAAAAGTGAATACAGTAATTTATTTAAGTTTATCTGCTAGCAGGCCCGTAAAAGAGGGGGACGAATTTGCACCCCCCCCCCCCCAGTCCCATATAACAGAAATTGTTTTCATAAGATTCTAAAATCTAGTTATAAATTATATAGCCCGAGTAAGAATAATAATATCAATAGACTGCTGAAGAAAATTTAACATTAAATCTACCTAATACATTAAAATAGTTTTTTCAAAAAGTCCTGTAAATCACTTTAGCTTAAAAATCTTAGTGATATTGTAAAAATTTAGAATGCAACAGAAAAAAAATTGTAGCCTTAGAAATTTTTTTTATTGAGATCCTTGTATAAAAAAAAACGGATACCAATTTCAAGTGCGTAGCAGCTTTATTCATAAAACACCAAAGTGTACTTCAATGATAAGCGGGGTGGTTTGGTGTTTTAATGGATTTCATAATTATTAAACCACTCAGGAGTGAATTTTATTTCACTGAGCAATATATAACATTGACGAGAACTGAAGAAGGACATGAGAAGGACTAAACTAAATTAAATTTCTCTCTACAGAACTCATGTACACCACAAGTACTCAATGACATAAGAACAGCCAATGTTTACAACCGACCTAGTTAATCTATATAATAGGAACATCTTTAAAACATCTCTGTACATTTATATCTTTCAAGATGAAAAATGTCGTCTTATGCACAATCTATCTTTAGCTATGGTTCCCTCAGGGTAGTATTTAACTTGGGAGGAAATTGTATTCAAGTTGACTTGGAGGAAATTGTATTGAAGTTGACCGGGAGGAAATTTTATTTATGTTGACTTGGAGGAAATTGTTTTTAAGTTGACTTGGAGGATATTGTATTGAAGTTGACCGGGAGGAAATTTTATTTATGTTGACTTGGAGGAAATTGTTTTTAAGTTGACTTAGAGGAAATTGTATTTAAGTTGACCGGGAGAAAATTTTATTTAAGTTGACTTGGAGGAAATTGTATTTAAGTTGACCGGGAGGAAATTTTATTTAAGTTGACTTGGAGGAAATTGTATTTAGGTTGACTGGGAGGAAATTGTATTTAGGTTGACTTGGAGGAAATTGTATTGAAGTTGACTGGGAGGAAATTGTATTGAAGTTGACCAGGAGGAAATTGTAATTAAGTTGACTGGAAGAAAATTGTATTTAAGTTGACCGGGAGGAAAATCTGGAGAGTTCATCCCCCTCCTGAATGCTGGAATACATGTTCTAAGAACATTATTGAGATTTTGCTAGAGCCAGGTATAAGCTAGAAAATAATAGTGAAGGAGTTGAGTCTTAATATCTTTGAATCAATATATCTTAACCCAAAGACCTTAGAGTTTTCAAACAATGAATTCTGCTAGATTAAATAATTTAAGTTTGAAATGTCAAAGGTTTACACAATCAGATTGCTAAGATAAAGGGATTAAAATGTTTGAGTTTGTGGCAAAGATTCAATTCCTTTGATCAATCACATTAACTTTCAATCTTATTTTTCATGTTAACTTTTAGTCTGATTTTTTATATTAACTTTTAATCTGATTTTTTTATATTAACTTTTAGTTTGATTTTTCATATGAACTTTTAGTCTGATTTTTCATCTGCACTTTTAATGGTTCTCTGCAGGAGATGCCTTGTTTGTTCAATCTGGATACTGGTATCATGCAACTGAAGTACTTGGAACAAATCTATCAGAACTTAGTCAAGTATTTATTTTTGATTATGAGAGTGGATTGCTTTCTGATCTGATTTAAAATAAAAAAAAAAATATCTTGTTTAATATTTTAATCAGAGACATCAAAGTCTAGAATATGAAAAAAAAATGTTGACAGAAAATGGAAGCTTGGACAAAAATAGGAAATTGTTCAAGCAGACTTAAATGTTTTTTTTTATTTTCTATATTTTCTTTATATTACTGGATATACTTTGGTTTGACCTGGATATAGTGGCTATAATTTGGTTAAAAACATATATTTTTTGGTTTAAACTGGATTTAGTTTGTTTTAGTTAAAATTATATGCATATTTTGGTTTTTGATGGATATTACGGTTTTGTATGGATATTATGGTTTTGTATGGATATTATGGTTTTGTATGGATATTATGGTTTTGTGTGGATATTATGGTTTTATATGGATATTATGGTTTTGCATGGATATTATGGTTTTATATGGATATTATGGTCTTGTATGGATAATTTGGTTTTGTGTGGATAATTTGGTTTTTATGGAAATTATGGTTTTGTATGCATATTATGGTTTGTATGGATATCATGGTTTTTTATGAATATTATGATTTTGTGTGGATAATATGGTTGTGTATGGATATTATGGTTGTGTATGGATATTATGGTTTTGTGTGGATAATATGGTTTTTTATGGATATTATGGTTTTTTATTGATTTTATGGTTTTGTATGGATAATATGATTTCGTGAATATTATGGTTTTGTTTAAATATTCTGTTTTTTATGGATAATATGGTTGTGTATGGATATTATGGTATTATGGTTGTGTATTGATAATATGGTTGTGTGTGGATATTACGGTTTTGTATGGATGTTATGGTTGTGTATAGATAATATGTTTGTGTATGGATATTACGGTTGTGTATGGATATCATGGTTGTGTATGGATAATATGGTGGTGTATGGATATTATGGTTTTGTATGGATAATATGGTTGTGTGTGGATATTATGGTTTTGTATGGATGTTATGGTTGTGTATGGATAATAAGGTTTTGTGGATAATATGATTGTGTTTGGATAATATGGTGGTGTATGGATGTTATGGTTGTGTATGGATATTATTGTGGTGTATGGATATTATGGTTTTGTATGGATATTATTGTTGTGTGTGGATATTATGGTTTTGTACAGATAATATGGTTGTGTAGGTTGTATGGTTGTATAAGAAGTATTTAACTACCAACAGTTAATCATGTGTCCCTGTATCCTCTGTATCATTGCATATGTAAATATATAGAAACCCAACCTTGAGATTAGAACTGTTCACTGCTCACTCAAATACATTACGATGAAAATATTTTCAAAAAACTATAGAAAATGAAATATTAATGGGAAATATCTTCTAAACAAAAAATCACAAAATTTTCCAAAAAGCTTATATCATTGATAATGATTTATAGTTTGTGTACTGTAAACCTTCAATAAAATTGCTTTCCTAGACCTGTAATAAATACAGTAATCCCCATATTGTTAACCTGAAGAATACTCTAGATATATTACGCTCTAACTGTCTGTAGATCCAAATGCACTTATCATTCACTACGCAAAACTTGTAATGTGATTACCTAGCCTAGCTACGTCTGTAGCTGGCTTAAATACGCTCATATTTATCCGTGGTAATCTTGTAAATTTGTATATTAAACTTAATCTGTAACATAGCTTTCTAAATATACACTCCGCTTTGATAACTGTAAGAGAGCAATTTGTTCCTTGTTTTAACGAACGAGTTGACAAGATCATGTCTTGTTTGACATTTATAACTGAAGAGATCATCATGCCCATTGGTTTGGCATTGATAGTTTACTCGCTTATGTCAGTGTTGACATTGATAACTGAAGAGATCATGGCCAGTGGTTTGGCATTGATAGTTTATTCGCTTGTGTCCGTGTTGACATTGATAGCTGAAGAGATCATGCCCGTGTTTGGCATTGATAGTTTACTTGCTTATTTCTGTGTTGACATTGATAGCTGACGAGTTGTACCTGGATTGATACGGGTCTGAGAGCAGTTTTAGGAGTAAGGCATTTAGTACAGACCTTAATGAATTTTTGTGTATTTATTTAGAAAATTCGTCCAAGGTATATTTTACGCTGTCTTTGACGGTGTTTATTTGAAAGATTATATAATGACTGTATTTTGTGCTAGACAAACTTAGATCTAGTAAGTGCCCCGTGCTCCCCCCTCCCCCTTCTCCTTCTCCAATATCCCCCACCCTCAACTTCTCCTTCTCCAACATCCCCCCTTCTCCTTCTCCAATATCCCCTCTTCACCCTGCCCACCTTCTCTCCTTCTTCACTATCCCTCCCCCGTCCTCCACCTTCTTCTCCTTCCCCACCATCCCTACCCGCTCCCCAACCTTCTCCTCCTGACCCACCATTCCTACCCCCTCCTTTGCCGTCTTCTAATTATCCCTCCCCATCCTCCACCTTCTCCACCATCCCTCGTCCCTCCTCAACCTTCTTCTTCTTCTCCACCACCCTTCCACCTCCTTCACCTAATTCTCCTTCTACACAAACCCCTCCCCTCCTGTCGTGACTAGACTTCGGTGACAAGATGACTGTAAATAAGGACTTCCATATCGGAGTCTCCTGATTAACTCTCTCATTTTACTTCGTGATGGATGGTTCTAGAATACCATTCCAAGATGGATGCTTCCACCAGACCTATACATTCAAGATGGATGCTCCCACCAGAACTATACATTCAAGATGGATGCTTCCACCAGACCTATACATTCAAGATGAATGGTTCCACCAGAACTATACATTCAAGATGGATGCTTCCACTAGAACTATATATTCAAGATGGATGCTTCCACCAGACCTATACATTCAAGATGAATGCTTCCACCAGACCTATACATTCAAGATGGATGATTCCACCAGGCCTATACCAAATGGATGCTTCAACTAGACCTATACATTCAAGACGGATGCTTCAACCAGACCTATACATTCAAGATGGATGCTTCAACTAGACCTATACATTCAAGATGGATGCTTCCACCAGACCTATACATTCAAGATGGATGATTCNCATTCAAGATGGATGCTTCAACCAGACCTATACATTCAAGATGGATGCTTCCACCAGACCTATACATTCAAGATGGATGCTTCCACCAGACCTATACATTCAAGATGGATGCTTCCACTCCTTCCACCAAACTTATACATTTAATATGGATGCTTCCACACATATACATTCAAGATAGATGTTTCCAGACCTATGAATTAAATATAGGTGCTTCCACCAGACCTATACATTCAAGATGGATGCTTCCACCAGACTTATACATTCAAGATGGATGCTTCCACCAGACCTATTCATTCAAGATGGATGCTTCCACCAGACTTATACATTCAAGATGGATGCTTCCACCAGTCCTATGCATTCAAGATGGATGCTTCTAGACTTATACATTCAAGATAGGTGCTTCCACCAGACTTATACATTCAAGATGGATGCTTCCAGGCCTATACATTCAAGATGGATGCTTCCAGGCCAATAAAGTCAAGACGGATGCACCAAGAGCTAAATTTAAAAAAAAATCAAGCAAAATTCCAAATTGCCGCGTTATTTATAAAATGGTTTATTTAATGCATTTTAACATTTAGTTGTTTTATCTTTCATATCTCTTATTTATGTCTATGTAATAAAGTGCAAAAATTGTTTACAATAAAGCTATAAAGATGCCGAAAGTGCTTCCTTATTCACCTCTGTCTATGCCAAGCATATGTATTCAAAGATCTGTAAAATAATAGATTTAAAGGCTTGGTTTATCCTGAAATATTATAAAGATCAAAGGGGGAGAATGTAATTGCCTAAAGAAAAAGAAAATATTTTTTTATACATTAGGAACATTTTCATTAGCAATGAATAAAGTGAAATGTAAGGCAAAGTTTAGTTGTATGAAAAAAAATTAAATTTTTTTCCGGCTTGTTAATGGATCTAAATTTCTAAAATAGCTTTAAATGATTAAATATTAAAAATATATCTTTAATGATGGTGTCATGGTCCAGAAAGTCTTTGGTATGTAGTTTACACAGATTCACAAGGACGATATATTAAAGGAAATGTTTGCGAAAATTAAAGGATGATTCCCAAAGGTACTAATACTGCAGGTCGTCCAATATATAGTTATATTTAATTTGTGAATAAAATATTTATAACTAGGATTCCAGGACAGTATTTTCTCTCCTACAATTATCAAACAATAACAACAAAGGAATTGAGTCTTTGCCACAAACTCTGATTTTCTAATCACTATAACTTTTGAACCGAATGTTGTAGACCTTATATATTTCAAACTATGAATTCTGTTAGATCAAATAATCTAAGTTTGAAATATCAAAGGTTTACAACGTCGGGCTCTAAAGATATTGAGGTTTAAATATTTGATTTTGTTCCAAAGACTCAATTCCTTTCTCGGATATATAGATTTTTTTTCGTGGATTTTAAAAAATCAAAAATGTTTTAAATTCTGACCATCCCTAAACCTTCCCCGTGGTCATGTGAGGTCCCACAAAAAAATAAAATAAAATAATAAGGAAAAGTGATATTTGATTTTATTATTTTTCTCCAACTCTCCCTTTACTGGTGCATTCCTGGATTCTACACCATGTTGTCAACAAGCTGAAATATCTCTGCCAAAAGTTTAGTTCAAGGAGGTTTAATGTTATTTATTGCTTCAGGATATATTTACAGTGGTGCCCAGAAAACAATAGAATCATTTCTTTCTTTTATTGAGAAAGGTCACCAAGAATTTGATGATTTGTACCTTATATATATATATATATATATATATATATATATATTCCTTAAAATGTGTTCTCAGGGCAAGCAAGAGGGAACTTAAATTTTTGTTAATGCAATAACTTTAAACTAAACCAGTGATTGTAAGAATAAGATGGATTTATACATTGTCTTCAAAAACCAAAACCAGAGGCTGAAGTTTTAAAGAATTTAAGCGGCGGCTTAAATTTAAGCGGCGGCTCAAATTCATTAAATTCGGACACAGAATTTAAAA